AGGTGATCAATCAGAGGTTCAGGCCGTGACTCAGCAGTTCCCATACAGGACTGTTGGCAGATGCCTGTCAGTGCCAGACAGGGACACCAGATGCCTGCTCTAGTGATCTGCAAACCACACAGCTTGCCATGATCCTGCAATGGGCCCCTTCAACTCAACACACTGCAGCAGAAGCTCATTCTTACTAATTTTCTTGTGGCTTGGCTCAATGATCTGTGGAGAGGAGTTAAACATTTTTAGTACCAACAGGCAAACATTTTCCTTTTTCCTGTATCAAACAGGGATTCAGGCATGGAGCAAAGCTGTACTGGCACTGCAAGCAGCCTTCTTGCACATGCAGAAAACCCCTTGGGTGGGGACTGTGGAGGAGCTCTCTGGGTTGAAGTGGGAGCTCTCAGGGGTTGTGAAACAGCTCCTTTCTCCCTGCTGTTATTTGGTGGCTTTAGGGGCTAAAGAGCAGTGAGATGGGGGAGGTTGCAGGGCTGGGCCTGGATGTGTTGTGAGGGTGATTTTTGGGGGAGGCATCTCTCAGTGCTCCACATGAGCCTGTATAGGGGGCAGCAGTGGGGCTGTGGCCACCCATGTGAGTGAGTGTGTTGTTCTCAATCTGCGTAGCACAGCCAAGCCCCCTGCAGCACTGTTTTACTGAGAATAGAACTAAAACCTCCTTTGAGTGTTTATCATCTTCAGTCTGACCCTTGCTTTTCTGACTCAGGATGAGTGAGCTGTAATTTTTCGGAGCGGATGTCTGCCTTTGATCTATGTGGCTTTGGGTTTTTAAAATACATGAAGCAGAAAGGAAAAAAGCCAAAAAGAGCAAAGAGAAGGCTCTGAGCAGAGATGCAGGAACACGCTGCATTCATCCCCAACTTGTGCAGGGGCTGACTTTTCAAACATAAGCTCTCATAAGTGTGCCCTGTTCTGGTGGGTGTGAGGCTGCTCTGAGCTCCTGGGAATGGCTGTGATGTAGGACTCAGTGGGGAGGAGGGCATTCCCTTCCCTTGAGTCAGTGGCAGCAGCTTTGCTCCTCTGTGCTCGCAGCCCAGCTTGCACTGCTGCCAAAGGTGTTGAGAAACAAGAGGGAGAGCAGCTCTCCTGGAGGCTGACATGCAGAATGCCTGTGGAAAAAATGACAGGCAGAGCTAATGGAAAGCAGCCCTGCTGCTCAGCCAGAGAGTTCTGTGCAGCCCGGCGTTGCTCTGGTATCCAGTGAGGAGATGCTGGGCTTTGGCTGCCCTCTCTGTTCCCCTGAGGAAGCAGCATAGACACAAGCAGCCTGGGTGTGAGGCTTTGGCACCCCCTGGAAGAAGAGCAGATGCCATGCTATGCTCAGGATGCCAGCACGCAATGCGGGTGCTGGGTGGCACGAGTTCCTTGTCCTGCTTCCTACCATGAACTCAAGGGCTGCTCGTGGCTGCTCACAGGTGCAGTTTGTAGCTCTGGGTGCTTCTGTCTCACATGCAGGAGTTTTTCTTGATGCAGTGAGCTGAGTTGGCTTTTTAATACCGCATGGTGACATGGGCACACTGGGTCTAAAATCTCTGAAGGTATCTTGCTTTTGGCAGAATGGAAGCATCGTGCCTGGAGCTGGCCCTGGAAGGAGAGCGTCTGTGTAAGGCAGGGGACTTCAAAGCTGGGGCAGCCTTCTTCGAAGCAGCCGTGCAGGTGGGGACAGAGGACCTGAAGACTCTCAGTGCCATCTACAGCCAGCTGGGCAATGCCTATTTCTACCTGAAGGAGTACTCCAAAGCCCTGGAGTACCATAAGCATGACCTCACATTGGCCAGGTAAGCATGTTGGCCATTCTTCATCCTAATCAGAATTTGAGCAAAGGAAAGTTCTGTGGCATCTGAGCCCAACGGTCTGAGGGAATCTGCTTTAGAAAGGAGAATCCAAGCTAGCTCTGAGGTGTGGAATTCACTGTTGTGTAAAGAACTCAGGAGGCAGAGGAAGGGATATGGAGGAGGGCGGCTGGAGCAAGAGCAGGGCAGTGCCTGATTCCTCCCTCCCCAGGCAGTCATGGGAAGCACACCTGAGGTCATTAGAACTCTCCAACTAAGTAAAACAGTGAACAAGAGTGTCATCAGAACACTGTGCCATGGGGACACCATGGTGTCCCTACCATGTGGTGTTTGCTACAACTTTGCTTGCTATAACTTGAGTTTTGCCCATAACAGCTGGTGAATAAAATGTCTATCAGCTCATTTAAACTTTTCCCTTCTTTGGGTCGTTTGTAGGACCATTGGGGACCGCATTGGAGAAGCCAAGGCAAGCGGCAACCTTGGGAATACATTGAAAATACTTGGGCAGTTTGATGAAGCTGTTGTTTGTTGCCAGAGACACCTGGACATTTCTCAGGAGCAAGGAGACAAGGTAACTGCTTCGTAGCATCCAGCAGGAAACACTTCCTATCTTGAAAATTAATTCACCTTCAAGCAGATGTCGACGTGGTGGAGGTGAGCCCTGGTAGGAGCTGGGATGTCAGACTTACTTCTGACTGCATCTGATAGGAAAAGCTGGCAAGGCAGTGAGGGTGGTAAAGGAGAAGGTGGGCTCCCTGGTTTTGGCTGAGCAACTTTGCCCAGCGATGGAGGAAAAGGCCATGTTGGAATGGGGAGAGTAATGCCTTGCTGCACCTTGCTCTTCTTCCTTTTAGATAGGTGAAGCCAGAGCACTCTATAACATAGGAAATGTTTACCACGCCAAGGGAAAGCATTTGTCTTGGAACATGGTCCAGGACCCAGGCTACCTGCCTCAAGAAGTCAAGGAGACGCTACAGAAAGCTTCAGAATACTATGAGTAAGTATTTAAGTGTGGACACCCCTCTGTGCTGCAGGGAACTGGCATCAGTCACTGATAAAATGCTGTTACCAAGTAAGAATATTCCTCCAGCTGTGAGGTGCCAAGGTATGCTAATGAATTCATCCTAAGGAAGGCGAGGGAAGGGCTGCATGCTTTTATAGAGCTCGAGCTAATACTTTTCCTACTACTGCCTCAATAAAAGCCTTTGCAGCTTGGCTTTGCATGAACTAAAGTTCAATAGTCAGCTCCTCAGCCTGGGAGGAGAGCTCCTGCAGCCCCTGCTGCTCTCTGCTGGCCTTGGTGGGAATGGATCCCTGTGCACTTCTTGCTGTGGCCACAGAGTTGCTTCTCCCAAAGGATGAGGCTTTTCCCTTGAAGCCACGCTTCCCTTTTAAGGGATCTGTAGTTCATGCTGCTGTAGCATCCTTCTCTTTCATAAGCGGTTGTAAAGTTCACTCTGATGTCCAGCACAGGAAGGTTATTGTCCGACTTGCTTTTAGACCAGTGGTTTTCTCCTACTATCTCAGCTTTGTTTCAGTAACACTGGTGTTCTTTAAACAGCCTTTTTATATGAAGAGAACACAAAGATCTTGCATTGGTTGTCTCCTATCTGAGGATGTGTTAGTGCTGATGTATGGCTCACTGGCCCTTCCCCAGTGAGTGATGCATGTTGCACAGACAGTGATTAGATTTGTGCCAGCCAGGAGCTCTGTGTGTGCTGGGAAGAACCATAACAAGGCAATATGGATCTTCCCTTATCCCCAGGTTCATTCCTGCCCTGTTGGGGGTAATTTCTCTTCTCTGATGCTCATAGCAACCCTTGTGCTGTGGGGTGGCTGCAGGAGGACAAATATTGCTCTGCTTCCTTGCAGGAGGAACCTGTCCCTGGTGAAGGAGCTGGGGGACAGGGCTGCACAGGGCCGTGCTTATGGCAACCTTGGCAACACGCAGTACTTGCTGGGCAACTTCAGCGAAGCCATTGCCTTCCACAAGGAGGTGGGAAAGCATGTGGGGATCATCCTTGGGGGCTGGGAGGGCTGATAGGGAGCTGAGTTTCTGCTCAGCCCTATGGGGCACGGACCCCCATGTGTGTCAGCCCCTGCCCTTATGTGCAGTGCTGCCTTTCTGCATTCCTCATCAGCACCTGATGAGCAGCGCAAGGGAAGGGTGCTGTTGGCTTGGAAACCAAAGGAGATTTCTAAGGGCAATTTGCAGCTGGGCCTAGGAAGGGCTTTTCTGTGCTCAATTTGTGCCAGTCTATATTTTAATAAATGCAAGCCATGAATTTAATTAAGCCGCTGAAAGAGCTGTTGATCAGGAATAATTGTTGTTTGTAGAGCACAGCTACTTTCTGTGAAGCTTTTCGGAGGGCTGAGAGGAGACAATCCCTGCCCCAATTCAAATGCAATTAGAAGTTTCATGTTGAGAGCTGACACTGCTTCTTTCAAAGCAGGGGGTGCTGAGCATGTTGGGCAGTGGGACCCTGCCAGAGCTGCTCTGGATGCAGCCCTGATATGCACATGCACCACTGCATTTCTGGGTGTGAAATGTTGCAAAACAAAAGAAGCTAATCTCCCAGCAGGGTTGCTGTGTAACACAAGCCTGGCAGTGCCAGCTGTAACTCACTGATCTGTATCTGCTGCAGCGCCTGGCTATTGCCAAGGAGTTTGGGGACAAAGCAGCCGAGAGGAGAGCATACAGCAACCTGGGCAATGCACACATCTTCCTTGGGAGATTTGACATCTCTGCTGAATACTACAAGTAAGTGCCAGGAATTGAGGCAGACTTGGGGCAGATGTTCCCTGTAAAACCCCAGTGGATTCATAGGCCTGAGGGGAGATGATGGGACTTGGTGGCCAGCTGCCTGTGTGATGCCTGGCAGCAGCAAGCAGTGCCATCACCTTCCAGCTCCAATGCCTTGTGCATGTGGATGTTCTGCTGCCTTGCAATGACCAGCTCTCTTGTCTCCACCCATCCAGGAAGACACTCCAACTCTCCAGACAACTCAAAGACCAAGCAGTAGAAGCCCAGGCTTGCTACAGTCTTGGAAACACATACACACTGCTTCAAGACTATGAGAAAGCAATTGAATACCATCTAAAACACTTGGTGATAGCTCAGGAGCTGGGAGACAGGTAAGGGAATGCCTCCAGGAGTGGCTTCTCTGTTCTTGGGCTCTGAGCACTGTCCTGTCTTGGTCATCTATTGCTGTGTACTGCTGGAGATGAGGAGCAGCAATGCGTAATACTGAAGGTCTTTAGCAGTCTCTTGGGATGTGGTCTTCGATCCTATTGTTTGTCAGGGGAGTAAAAATAATGTGAACGAGACCTTTATCCCACTGAAACCCAGAGATCGTGTCCTTATGGCTGTGCCGCCTTCTTCAGCATTGCTGCCAGCAGCTCTGGGAAGCTGGGTGTCCTCCACTAGATGGAGCAGAGACACACAAATGGGAGCACCGTCAGGGCAGTATCTGCTCGGGGAAGATCTAATCCCACCCAAGGGTGAATCATGCTGTGGGGGTGCATCCTGTGGGCTCCTTCATTTCTGGGAACACGCCCCGTGAGCAGAAGGCATTGAACTGGGTGACAAGAAAAATGTTTAAATGCTGATCAACCCGCCCCAACCTCTGAGGAGGGAGTTGCAGTCACGCTGAACCTCCCCCTGCGCCCCCATGTGCTTTTTTTATTCCTTCACCCCCCACATCTGCACGTTGGCAGAGCTGAGCAGGCTGTGCTGAGCAGTCGGGCTGTGCATGCTGGTGCAAGCAGGTGCTGGAAACAAAGGCACCTGTGTGCAAGGTGAGGGGCTTCCCAGTGACATGCTGGTATCCAGCAGGGGGACACTGCATCCCTGCAGTGTTTTCCCCTTGCTGGATGATAGCTGTCCTGTTGATGCCTTGTGTATCCCTAGAGAGGAATCCGTGCAGAGCAGATGAGAGCTCTCACTTCTGCTCTGATTGATGCTTGTGTGTGACGTCAAGCTGTTCTGGGTCCTTGCTACACCACCTAGCTTTTGGCTGCTATGGGTACAGCCTCATTTCTGAAACCATTGCTTATCCTCTGACCTTACTGCCTTTAGTGTAAGGGATTAAGCTGCACAGTGTTTCAGTTTTTTAGGAGGATGTTCTGTGGGTGAAAGCAGAGCTGGCTCAAGGTGCCCCTGAAGAAGCTGTGACAGGGTTGCTGGGCTGGGCTGGGCTCTGCCCAGGATTTCTGTGGTCAACAGCTTCCTGTCTTGCAGGGTGGGAGAGGGAAGGGCCTGCTGGAGTCTTGGAAATGCCTACGTCTCCCTGGGGAGCCATGAACAAGCTTTGCACTTTGCAAGGAAGCATCTTGAAATCTCCCAAGAGGTAAGAGAAGGTAGCTCAGGTCAGAGGGAACCAGTCCTCTCTAGTGGGAAGACTTTTTTTCCTATCTAAACTGATTTTGGAGTAGTTCTTCTCTAGCTAGGGCTCCTGTAGATTTCCTGTCTGTCTACTGATTCAGTGCTGCCTGCAGAGCTTGGCTGGAAAATATTCTTGTCATGCGAGGCTCCCAGGCTTCTGCCTTGTTAGTGCTGGTACATCTGCTGCTCCCTGCTCTCACCTGATCCTCCTAAGCAAGGGAAGGACCTGGGGAGCAGCTCTCCAGCCTGCACACCCAGCCTGCTGGTAGGACCTCTGTCCTGAGCAGCAAGTTGTGAGATCTTGACTGCCAGGCACCCTGTGGTTGCAGCTGTGTTCTGCTTTCCTAGCGGGTTCCTACCTGGCTAAGTGATGCTTGCATCCCTCCAGCAGCTGCAGCAGGTGAGGGGTGCCAGCTCCTCGTGGTGAACTCGAGTGTTGTGCAAATACAACTGATTGCTAATGCTGGATTAGTGCAGCCTCATGCTAACCCTGCACCAATGCCATACTCTGGCATGCAGCTGACTTCCACTGAAGTGCCTGCCTGGCTGCAGCTTTCCTGGTACAAAACCAGAAAGTGTTTGCAGGAGACTTTTCTGCACAGGCTCAGATGTACAAGAAGGCATTGTTTGCTTTTCAGTGTGTTATGTGGAAGTCAGCTGCAGCCTCTTTAGTGTTCTCCAGATGAAGAAATTGACCTTTTGGAGCACTAATTGAAATTGCTGTATGTAAGTGCTCTGTGTGCTCTCCTGTCTGTGAGATTGGCTGAATGGTGGGGTAGGGCTGACATACCAACCTAATCAAGTACTTAATTATACTTATCAGACCTGCAGGAGAAATACTGTTCTTTAGCCCTGAACATCTTAGGACAAATGAGCTTTTCCAGCTCCAGCCTGCCAGGACAGGCAGTGGGGGCTGTGTGCCCTGCAGGGGGTGGTGGGAGGGAGGAAGGGATGGGGGTCCTGAGAGGGTAGGAGGGCTGGTGGTGATGCTCTCATCCTGGTGTAATGGCTGTGGTAGCAGCATGTCAGAAATAGGTTACTCATGGCAGGTGGCAGTAACCCCCCTCCTCCAGCTATAATTATGGAGTAGTGCAGAGGCCATGTCTGTTTGTGGGGAGGGTCTGCATTAGCTTCTAGCAGTGAGTGATGCTCTTGTAAAGCTGATTAATTTTGCCTTGAGAACCAAGTTAGATGCTTGTGCTGCTGTGGTGAGCATCAGCACTTTGCCCATAGAGAAGCTTATTCAGATTATACCTCTGCTCACTAATATTTAAAACCCATTTCCTGTCACCATTTCCTTCTCCTGCCCTGACATCCATCTGATAGTGACATTTGAAATCTGTTCTGAACAACCACATGGGCTGCTGCAAGGTGATCTGAGATTGTGCAGAATTCCTTCTGAAGGGAGGGAAGATGCTGTCTGTAAGTCCTGGAGGCTCTCAGGTGCTGCTCAGCAGTGCCTTCCTTGCACCTGTGTGTGGTGGGGATGATGGAGGAGCAAAGGCAGCCAAGCTGAGGGCAGAGAGCCTCTGCTATGGCATGTGGGGCAGCTGCCCAGACTGTTATCTGCCCTGACAGTGATGGGGCCCTGGAGAGAATTTGGAGTGAGTGGAAATCAGGGAAGTACTTAATAGAGCATCAAGGACTGTGTGACCTAACCAGGACGTGGTAATTTCTCTGGAGATGATGTCAACAGCAAATCTCTTGTAATTGGCAGGGGATTTATGCCTGATGATAAGCTATTTGATCTGCCTCCCTTTACTGGCGCTCAGGGCTTTGTCATAAATAATGTGGGGATTTATGGTTCTGTTCTAGGACGATTCATGCTGCAGTCTATCTCAGAGGACCACAAAAGAGCTGTTGCAAGGCATTTAATGGGGACTCAGGCTTCTCCAAGGGAGCAGCTAAGGGCTCTCTGTAACAGAGGCAGCTGTTTCTCTGAAGATTAGCAGCTGCTTCTGAGTGACCTCTCTGTGTTGGCTGGTGATATGCAGTGCAGTCATTTTCATGCCTGGTTAACCTTTGAGGCACGCTCAGCTGCTTGTCCTGTGCATCTCTATTAAGTAGCAAGAGCCACTGGAAAGAGCTGTTCCTGAATATCCAACATCAGCTCCTTCATGCTGCTAAGAGATGGGAATTTTGTCTCCATTTTAGCTCTAAGCCAGGAGTAGAATGGGAATCTCAGGTTTTTCCCTCTCCCCATCCCAGCAGGTGAAACATGCTCAGTCAATTCAGAAGGGCACAAGCAGCGTGGCACTGCACGAACACATCCATGTCCTGGAGCTCTGTGTGGGTTGGGTCCCTCCTGGATTCACATCTCCAGGGCTCTGAGTGGCGGGGTTCTGTAACACCTCAGTGGACACCCAACCCCTGAGTGTCTGGGGTTGAAAAGTTGGCTGGGATGGTGCTCCAGGATGCCTCTCTTTGTTTGCTGTGGTGTGGGTCAGGCAGCACTCTGCTAGGGGCTGCTGGCTTACAGCATGCTGCCTTTTAACCAATGCCTGGTTGGTTTCACCCACAGATTGGGGACCGGACTGGAGAGCTGACAGCACAGGTGAACATGGCCCAGCTCAGGACAGCCCTCGGCTTGGGCCCTGGTGATGAGGATGTGGGCATGGCTTGTCCTTACTCTGGCTATGAGGCACAAGGTGAGCATCTGGGCCATGTGAGGTGTGGGAACGGGGAGCTGGGGATGTGTGTGACATAAAGGGAAATATGAACACCAGGAAAGAGTCTGCAGTATGTTTGCAGGAAGAAGAGAGTGAAGAGCATGTTGTTTCTCAGCAGAATCATTCATTATTGCATGGATGGTGTGAAATCCTTGCTCTGACCAAGGCCTGTGGGCAGCATCTTATTCCCTCCTCCTGCACTGTGCTTGCCATAAGCTGTGAGGACAGGGAAGGATCCACCCCAAATTGGGCACAGAGCGAGTTAACAGAATTAATCTGCATTGGGAATGAACTTCCACATGCCAAGCAGCAAGCCAGCTTTTGTCTCTTGTAGAGCACCCTTTTAGCTGATGTGACTGATAGAACAAGCTTTCAAAAGGTGACTGGCAGGGATTTTTGGCTGCTGTCATCCTGATTAGCACCTAAGGAATCAGACTACAGCAGGAGCTGAAGGCAGGTTGTGAGCATCGCTATGCTGGGTGCTGCTCCCACCTATGGGGAGGCTGAAGCTGGAAGCTACAGGACTTGATGGCACACAAAATGGTTCCATTTACTCCTCTGGGCCGTCCTGCTGCCCAGTGTGGATGAGTCCTCACTGTCAGCCTGACACATCCCCAGCTTGGGGACCTTCTGTCTGTCCTGCAGCTGCCACCATAGGTGTCTGGGTGTGCCTGGCATGAAAGCTGGTTGCTCTGTAGCTGTGGACAGGTTTATTAATTGAATGAATGAAATGAAGTCGCGTCCTGGGAGGTGCAGGCTGATTAAATATGACCTTGTTAGTGCAGTTGCTTTCTGAGACAATGTGTTCTTTTTCCTGGTGGGAGAGCTGGCTCAGGGAAGGTGATGGGATGCTGCCTGCAAGTGTTTGCTCTGTGTATTGATCTTGAAGGTGTAGCTGCTATGTCAGTGCTAAAGCTTTTCCTGAGAAATGGAGCTGCGAGGGAGCATGCCCAGCAGTGCAAGGCTGGAGTCAGAGGTAGGGAAAGCTGTGTGCTCCAGCCCAGGTGAGATGGAGCCGAGCTTCAGGTTGGCTTCTGAGCAATCTCTGCCTTTTGGTGTTGCAGAAAGGAGAGCCTGATTTTTGTTTTTTTCCTTCATGTTATTTTCACAGCTTAAGGCTATAGCATGACTGCATATTCATAAGGGTGCTAAGTTGGTTGGGTAGGGCAGGCATGCTGTAAAGTGCACAAATACCATCAAACAGGTAGGATAAAGTTTCACAGCAAATCTCAGTTCTGGGGAAATCTGTGCAGCTGAGAAGCCCTGAGCCAAACCATCGGGTTGCCATGTCCATCATGGGTTGATTGCTTCCAAGCCTTGTATCTGCCCTTCACTGAGGACATGGGGGGAGAAAGGAGTGTTTGGTATTTTCTGGCTCCTTGTTGAGCTCTTTGTGATTTTTAATTAATGTTCTGAGAGCAATTGGATGTCAGAAGACAAAGCTGGAGACCAGGGAAGTGGGACAGTGCTACGAAAGTCTTGTGAAAGCATTGACCTTGTGAAGAAATGCAAACACGCAGAGCTTAGAGCAACAAATGGATGGAGCTGGGGAGTAGCAAGCAAACAGGGGTTGTCTCTGCTTCTCTAAATGCCAAATATGTGGCCCTGAGAAATGCTCTTGCCCTCTTTCACATACTGCAAGTAAATAATTGAGTCCTGATAGGATTTTGCTGTTGCAGAGAAGGAAACTTGCTGTGTCTGTGGGGGATGTTTGTTGTTAGAGGTCAAGGCCAGTGTGAAGAGTGAGAAGTGCTGCCTGGTGCTGGGAGGTGCCCTGTGGGGTTGGCTGCCTGCTCTGCCCCATACACTGCTGTTCTGAAGGGCATGAGCTGTGCCTGGTGATCCAGGAGCCCTCCACCCAACCCCTTCCTTGGGCATCCTGCTGGCAGTGCCACCTGTGTGCATTGCACTGAACATGACCTGGCAGTGTTCCTTGGCATCTCCCTGCTCTGGAGGCTGGCACCTGCTGCAGGCTGTCTGCTGGCTGTAGGGAATGGACTTGCTGCTGCAGAAGGGGTGAGAGCAGACCTGGCCAGGCAGTGAGTGCAGGAGGGTTCTCAGTGCTGTTCTGAAGGGAAAACTAACTCTGGACCATTTTCCCTCCATGCTCAGCAGTGTGTCAGCATCAGCTGTCATCTCATGGCAGCAGCAGTGCTAGGAGACACTGAGCAACACCTCTGCTGGCAGCTGGTGTGGGTGGGAGGATGCGGGTGTTCCAGGAGGTGTTGGCATGTAGCTGCTTTCAGAGTTCCTGGCGTGGTTTCTGTGCTGTTTGCAGTATGCAGCTGCTGCTGTTGTCCAGCTGTGCTCAGTGAGCTCTGAGGGCAGGGAAGGGCCCTGCTGTGAGCCAGGCTTCCCCTGCTCTGCACATCCCCCTGCTGAAAGAAAGGTGGGCGCAAGGCTGGGTTGCACTTGGGTTTCAGGAGGGGTTCTGTGATGGGCTCTGCTCATCCCTGGGTGATGAGCTTCAGGTGGTGGGCAGCCTGGGCAGGCACAAACCATCTCCTTCCTGGGCAGCGACCAGATCTGTGTGGCTCTGAATGTGAATCTTTTCATCCTCAGTGCGATTTTGAGCTGCTTCACAGGAATCTTTGAACCCTCAGATAAATTGGGGATAGGAAAAAAAAAATCTGCTTTTATGTTTCCCCAGTCTGTTTGTTTGTTTGCTTGTTTGCTTTAAATATCTTTGAAGTATCTAAGAAGTGTTTAGGGCTGCTGGGATGGGTTGGTTAGCCCAGCCTTGTGCTGGTGCAGAGCAGGAAGGAGGCAGCACTGCTCTCCCGTGCCTCAGGCTGTGCCACAGCTTTCCCTTTATGTTGTGCTGTCAGGCACTGTGCTGGGGGACAGCCAGCTGTGGCCCTCTGAAGCAGAATGCAGGGTGGCCTGGAAGATGTTTGTTTTGTGCTCAGAGAGCTGGCTGCTCTGGTGATGAGCTCAGGTCTGTGCTTGGTCTGCTCCAGGGTGTGGATGCTCACTCCCACCAAGGCAACTGCAGGATGGTGTCCAGAGGGCTCTGAGTGCTGCACTGGTCCCCGGGGGAGATGTTTAAGGGAGAAGGGACAACAAGAATGCTGCCTGATCAGGGAAGGGAGCTCTTGGATGGAGACTCAAGGCATCTGAAGGCTGCCCCTGCATTATCTTTGTGATGAGTCTTTTCTAATTTCTCTGAGTAACCTCTGCTGTCACAGCTGCTAAATCACTCCAGCAGCACTGATGGGGGGTGATGAACCTCTGAGTCATTTGGAATTGAATCAAGTTATTTAGTGCTCAACTCAGACTGTCCCAGCATTAACTTCATGGGGCTTAAAAAAATATTCTTCCCAAAGTTTGAGCAGTGTTTAGTTCTCTCATTTTGCTTTGTACATGAGTCTCCTTCCCAGTGTCAGTGTGAAGTGCAGCTTTGGTGTTAAGCTCAGGCTTCTCAGAGCAGAGGAAATGCTTCAGGCCTGGAGGAAAGGATGTTGTGCTAATGGAACTCAGGTGCATGTTTCATCTTAGTGCCAGGGAAGGAGGAGCAGGGAAGGAGCCTGTGCTTGATTCCTTTGGCAGAAAAGGTACAACGTGGCCCTTGGCAAAGCCACCCATTAAATCAAGGGACCTCTTGTTGTGGGAAAGCGACTTCATAGGAGCAGTTAACTCCTTCCAGCAGCCCAGATGGGAGCTGGGAACCTGACATCCCCTCTGGCTGCTGTTCCAGCCCTGCTTTCAGCAGCACAGTTCTCCAGGCAGTTTTCTTTGGTAGCCAACACATAGGAAATAGCTATGGTTATGAGAATTTTGTCTAATAGTGCAGTGTTACCTTTAGCATCGAGATACTCCTGTTTGCAGTGCTGCAAGTAGAACCAAACAAGTTCTTCCTCACCCAACTAGAATTACTTCTCATCTTCAAAGGTCTTTGTATGCTTGACTGTGGTCTGCTTTAGCACTTCACTGGTCAGGGCAAGGACAGAGCCTTTGGCCCCTCAGGCAGCAGAGTTTTGCTTAGCACAGAGACCTGGGAGCTTGTAGGGACAACCAGAGCTCAGAAATGTAAATTCCTGTGTGGCTGAATGTGTCCCAGGAGATGGAAAGCACTGCAGGCTGGTGGCTGATGCATGAGATCAAACAGGAGGGGAGGGATGAAGGATATTGCCCCTTTTTCTGTAGGGTTTTGTGGCCTTTGATCACTGTATATTTTCACTATGTTTCATTCTTTTGCCCTGTAGGAAGCAGCTGTTGTAATTGGGTTTGTTTGGCTGCTGGAGGTGTTGCCTGGGCTAATGCATGTCACTTTCTAGCTCACTTGGTTCCTTTCTGATCCCTGCTTGTTCAATGTGAGCTGGCAACAGAAGATCAGAGGACATGAGGCTCTGCTACATGCTGGCAGAGAAAGTTTTGCTCATAGAAGAAAAACCAGGTGCTCTTGCCAAGCCTATCCTGGCTGGTCTTGAATTGGCCCCAAGGTTCCATGCCCCCTCCCAGCTTGCTCTACTGGGTTCAGTTTATCTCCCAGAAAATCCTCCTGTCCCCACAATGTTTAATCTATGAAGCCTTGCCTGGGGGAGGCCGTGGTCACACGAGGCCACCCCTGGCACAGCTCCAAGCTTTCCCAAGCCTTGTATTTGACTTTGTTAGGTGCTGTGTCATTAGGTGCGCTGTGTGTTCTGTATCCTGCATATACAGGCAGATGCTTCATTATTGGGCCTGAATTGCCAGTGCTTTCTTTGCAAAAATTCCCATTCCAGCCTCACCTAGAGGATAAATAACGATTATGGATGGGTGTAAGGGGAGGAGCTGGTCTCAAAGATGTGATCGATGTGACAGCAATCAGTAAGAGTTTGTAAGGCTGTGAGAGGTAGGATGGCTCTCATCCTACCCAACCCAGAGCCTGCAGCTCTCCTGAGCTGTGCTGGCTGTGCCCAACCTGACTGCACTCTGTGGATCTCTTGGGTGCAACATAGATGTGCAGCGCTGCTGCCATGCAGGGTTCAGTTGTCAGGTGGGATCCTGGAGGATGTAAGCTTTGGGTGCCAAGTACGTAAAGTGTCTTCTGCCAAATCAGGCAGATGAGAATCCTGATTCAAAAGTAACTTCTTGTTCATGCCTATTGTTTGTACATATCATTTTTATGATGGGATGGTTTTGTCTTCGGGGGGAGGAGGGGTGGAAGGGGGGGGAGAAGCCACTGTAAAGCTGTTATTCTGGAGAAGGTTTTTGTCGTGCTCAGGATCTTGTCTGGAGGGTTGATATTTGCTCAGCTGTGTGCTGGTCTGTGTGCCAATGAATACAACACTGCAGAGCAAACACTGGAGCCCAATCTTCCCAGCAGAAGAGGTTTTGTTCCTGTCCTTTGGCTTCCAGCTTTGCTACAGAAGGCTGAGAATGCAGGACCTTGTGTGGGTGCAAAGCATTTCTGAGGCAGTTTGATGTGACAACGTGCTGGAAGTGACCTTCCTGCTGCTCTCCCTGGCCCTTAGCTGTGGGTTGGCTTTGTCCTTTTTGTGTCCTTTCTCTTCCAAGCCATATGTGTTCATAGCTTTTGTCTGAACCACGGAGCTCTCATATAGTTGGCAGGGAGAGAAAGGTTGTTTTAGCCATCTCACTGTGTCTTCAGCCATAGTAGAGGCCAGAAATGTTGGGATTTTCCTGGTCCTTTCCAATCCAGTAGGTGGCTGGATGAGCAGATGCTCCTTCCCATAGATGGACACACGAAAGCTCAGTGCCAGCATTTTTATGGCTCGGTCATCATAAATAACTGATACTATTTGCTTTCTCTATTTAGAAGAAAGCATTGCTCTATCCCAGTAACATCAACTGGGAAAACAAATGCCAGCATTTATCATTTATCATGCAACTGCTGGCACTAATAGAGGTCAAGTGGATTTATAGTACCAGAACCCATTATGTGTTTGAAGACTAATTAAGGCCTTAAATGAGACGCCTGTTTTGCTGGATTCTATTATTTTCCTTGCTGCTGTGGTTTTTATCCTCCTCCTTTCCTCTCTGAAGAGCACTGGCAGTAATAATGGAGCACTAGCTCAGCGGAGATGTCCTGATTAGGTGTCAGCAGTGTGAGATTTGAGATGCCCTGTGCCCATTGAGATTGCTGGATTGTATCTCTGCAGTTGTGGCTGGGGTTTACAGAGCTGTCTTTCTCCCCAGCCGACTGCTCGGCTGCTCTAATTGAATCAGATTTAACAATATTTGGAGCTGTCTGCCAGAACCAAGGATCTGAAAATGCTGGGGTCTGTGCAAATGTGAGAGGGCAACGGTCTGGTCCAGAAGACAAGTTGGTATTTCAGTTGATTTGAGTGCAGAGAGAAATGGCCTTTTCAAGTACTTATGCTGAGATTTGTGCTCTGTGGGGTAACTGCTGCCCCTGAGCTGCTGTGTGTACTGCTCAGCCGTGAGAGCTGGAGGGAGGGCAGGAGCAGTGTTGGCCATGTAACCTTTCCCCAGCAGTTTTTTGTGGAGTTCACTGTCAGCTTTAATTCAGGTACAGCCACCCAGAGGGAGACAGCTTGTTCCAGGCCTGCAAATAGAACTGTCGGGTGCTCTGTGCTTGGGAGCTTGCTCTGTCTATGGAGAAGTCCTCCTCCTAGGAGTCCTCATAGCACATGTCAACTTGATGAGAGCTCCTGGCAGGGCTCCCTGAGCTGCTGCTGCTGCACATGCTGTGCTCGATCTTGTCAATGCTGAGATCCCAAGAGTGCCAGCAGGATGCAGGAACAGAACTGCCCCCTCTGCCTGCCCGGTTTTACCCTACTGCAGATCTGCATGGCGCAGTCCATGGCTGTTCTGTGATAAAACACTTCCTTGAGTTCTCTGCGGCTACATCTTGTATGGTAGCAAGGTACTGAGAGAGAATTCTTGCTATGTGAGTGTCTTCCTGGGAGGAACACAGCTGGTCCCAGTGCCTCATTGCCCAGCAGGGACTGGAAGCCCACAAAGTGATGTGCTGAGCAGATGCTATCAGAGGCTTTTGCAGAAGAGGCTGGTGTGATCTTTTCCCTAAATGTGAGAAGCAGAGTTGCCCTACATCATTCAGCCTGAACAGCACAAGGACAGCAAGGGCTGTGCACTGCCCAACTTCTGGCTGAGAAAAAAGGTTGGGAATAAAGCATGCTGTCTGTGTCATCATAGGTAGCACAAGGATGGGGGTCTCTGCATCTCTGCAGAGCATGGATGTGAGAGAGAAGTGTCTGGAGGTGCATAAATTGGGTTAGTGTTCCAAGGACAGAAAAGCAGGGAGTAGCTTGAGATGAGGGATGCAGGAGCCAGCAGAAGCAAGGATGTCTCACTTACTCCCCATTGCTGTCTTCCTGTCAGCTTTCCCTGGGATTCATTTCTCCCTCTTAGGTGGGGAGGAGCTGCTTCCAGTTTTAAAACAGAGGAATGTGGAAACCGTTGAACACCCCAGGAACCAAACTGCAAGAGCAAAAACCAAACATTTAAAAAAAAAAAACCCTCCTTGCTTCAATGTTGAGTTCATGGGGGGGGGAAGTTTTAGGAGGGGGAGAAATTTAAAAAGCAACAACACCCCCTGAGTGCTGAGAAGGACAACATCTGAGGAGCTGCAGGAAAACAAGCCATGAATGCAGGCAGTCAGCAGCTGTGCTCAGCTGATGTTCACAAGAAGGTTTCAGCTCGCTCTTATTAGAGACCTCAGCAAACCTTAAAGACAGAGAGAGCATTTAGAAATGCCCCTGAGGTTTTTGGTTACTCTGCAGTTGGCTTGGTAAACATGCCAATAAATACTGGAAAGGGGAGAGAAAAGCTTACAGAGGAACAGACACGGGTTTTCAGCTGCTCAGTCTGCTGCCTCCACCACTGTCGGTTGGTGCTGGGGAGGAGGAGGAGGATGGGGATGTCTGTATGGCATTAGGGCTGTGCTTGCTGCTGGGAAAAGGGACTTTGGAGGAGGTAGGGGCAGCACACACAGTCTGGAGCTGTCTGGGGGACCATCCTGCCTGGGAACAGCGAGCTGATGGGATTCCTTCTGTTGCAGTGTGCTTGTGAGTATCTCTCTGCTCTGCTGGAAGATGGGCATGTGTGGGCTCTGGAGTGATTGGGAGAATGGAACTGGGTGCATTTGGGGCCCCTCTTGGCCTTGTAGCTGGTTGTGTTTTGCTCTGGAGGCAGATAGCTGTGTTGGAATGCTTGGAGTTGGGTTTGTAGGTCCTCTCTTGGCTCGCCTGAGTGCAAGGTCTGTGAGCTATCAGAGGAACATCAGCACCAAAATAGCTGGAAAAGATTAATTGCTTTGTGTGCCCTAATTGCTGGGGCAATCTGACTACATATATTTAATTAACAAAGGAGGAAGGCAAGTTTTCTCAGACCAGAGATTGATGGTCGCTGGCCAGTGGTTTAATGCTATTGTGAATGCACCAAAGCACCTGAGGACAGAGGTGTGTAATTAACAACTCTTCAGGCCGTTAGAAGTGACGTGTGTTTATCTAATCAGGCACACGCTGCTTCTTCAGGGCTTTCCTGGAAGCAGTCATTAGAAGCTGCTGTGACGCACGCTGGCTTCCAGGTGCAGAGCTCACCTCTTGGGCATCGCTGCCAAACCCATGTGTGCCATCTGATTTATCCATCTGATTTATCTTACTTTGCTTTCCTGGCAATGTGGGAGGAGACCCCTCCATCCTGCTGGTGCCCACAGGCAAGCAGCAAAGATGTGGTAGCTTAGTTAAGGCAGCTTAGTTAACATAAGCCAAGGGCTGAAATAAAAACGGTAAGATCTGTGCTCTTTAATGAGGGCAGGCAAGGCTGTGGGATAAGCAGCAGTGCTGTTTAGATGCTGGTGGGAAACCAAGGGACCCTCGTGCTCGATGAGTTTGCTGCTGCAGGAACTGCTTGCAGCTCGGTGGTTTCCGTTCTCAGGGCTCTGCACAAGGATGGCTTTCAACTCACATGCGCTCCTCGCCCTCCTGCAGGACATCCCCCCCAAATTTGGGAGTTGTTGTCATGGGACCTCAAGTCCAGTGGTTCTCTTTCTGCCTTGCTTGGCTTTGCTGATGTGGGGCATTGCCTGGCTCTCAGCTAAATAAAACCTTCAGCTTATATGAAATACAACGTATCACATGTGCTTTCAAATTCTGTGACCTGTGAAGGCAAAATTTCCATGTTCTTGTTGCTAGACCCATGAAAGTTTGCTCTTTTGCTTAGTTTTCTAGCCCTTGTGACCATAGAGAGGCTCTGAGCTGCATCCCAGACACGTTCTTTAAGCTAAAAACATAAAGATAAAGCAACAATCCCACATGTTATGTTTTTGTTATCATTTTTCTCAATGCCAGCCCCCTGGCTTCTCATGCTTGATGGGGGCAGCAGCTCTGAAATTCCAGAGATGAGACCCATGGTCACGGTGTGACCCTGCTGCTGGTTTGTGCAGCTCTGGCTGTTGCTGACTGTGCTGTGATAGCACTTTGAAAAAGATTCAAAACAACGGAGAGAAAACACATCTGAACCTCAAGGACAGAGTGCAGCTGCAGCATCCCATCTGTCTGACTTTGCAGCAATGGGAGCGGAGGGGCTGTCCTGCTCTGACACCTCCTGATGCAAAAGTGTGTTGTTTTGCAGGAGCCAGGCCCAAGAGAGTCCAAAGGAACAGCATGGACAGCTTAGACCTCCTGAAGTTCCCTTCTGAAAAGGTAAGCAAAGCAGCCTGCCTGGCCCTGGGGACTGAGTGTGGGTAGCAATCTGTGGTGGCTCGCTGAGGGAAGGACGCAATTGGTGTCATTGGAGTCAGTGGGATTAACCAAAGAGGGTTTCTAGAGAGCTTGGAGGAGAGACATTTAACTGAAAGCTGAAAAAGGCTATTCTGAACTTTCTTTTTTTTAAAGTCCTCTGTTGAAGAGGATAAGGGGAGTGGTTTAACCCCTTTAATGGCTGGTGGCACATCTCTGCGTGTTTTTAACCCAGCAGAGTGCTTTGCTCAGTGCGGGGAGGAAGGAGAGGTCTGAAGTGGGAGCTGTGCCTTGCAGGAGGTGGAGGGTTTTGTTTCAAGAGGCTCTGAGGACTTCTGCTCCAGTGCACTGCTGGAAATGTCAGATCTGAGCAGAGCAGCACTCCATCTCTCCCCAGGGCAAAGGCTGCTTCTACAGACAGCTGCAGGCACTGATCCTTCCCACCTATGGGGCTCATTTACATCCCTCAGAAAATCCTGTACAGAGTTGCTGGTCTGTCCAGGGGCAGCTGTTGGTTTTCTGTAGGGCTTCATCAAGCTCACCTTAGGGAAGGGGTCTGGGTGGGCCCTGTGCTGGGCCTTTGGGCTGGATAGCATCAAGGGTACAGCAGTGCCAGCAGGATGCTCAGCTGCATGTCCCAACCCAGTGCTTAGTTTTGCTGATGTGTGGTTTGCTGCTTCGCTGCTAATGCTGTAACAGCTGAGCCTCCTTCAAGGCAGAGGGGTGGGTGAGCTTCAGGGGTTCTGGTGAGAGCAAATAGGAGCAGTGGTTGGGGCACAGGACCCTGGAGTCCAGTGGGCAGCAGCGTGCCCTGCTATCACCAGCCCTGCTCCTAGTTTTGATATTTGCTTTCAGCTCCCAGCTGTCAGTCTTTGTTTATTCTTCTTTCCACCAGACTAAAAATTTATCACACACTGGCTTTCACCCCGAAGGTGCTTACATGCTGTAATTGAGTCATCCATCCTTTTGGCATGAAGGAAGCAGTTTGAAGCCTCTATCCACAGCAGCAAAGCAGCTTCTGTGCTGCCACTTAACTGCCTGCTTTTCAAGGTGTGGACACCAGCCAGGCTGCAGTCGGTCCTGCTGATAACATCTAAAGAATTGAAACTTATTCATTCTCACTATTCCTGTTTGTACTGTAAGGGGTGGAAAACTCCTGTGCAGGCATTGAAGAGAGCAAAGGAGGACAGCAGCGAGGGAGCAGGGGACTGCCTGTAGCCACCTGCTGCAGTTGTTGTGTCCCCCTGCAGTCCCCATGCACTGCTGTAACACAGGGCTTGGTGAAGGGGCTGGATGGGGCTCCTGCCTTTCCTGCTGAGCTGCTGGGGTAGGGTCAGCCCTCCTGGTGGAGGCACCTTTCAGCCATCACCTCCTGTGTCTGTAAATAAGCCAGCCATGCCCTTACCCCCACATCTCTGTTTTTTGTTTCTTTTTGAGGGGATGCTCCTCCTCTCTCACCTCTCCCAGTGGAGGATTTGACTACTGTGTGTTGTTTGGGTGATGCTTCCCTGACACTCGTTAAAATCATCCTCTGCAACGATACACAAAATATATCAGCTCACGCAGCCTAAAAGCCACATTAACTTCTTCTTTCTGTTCATCTGCTGTACTCTGAATCTTAGGGCAGCAGGTCTCGATGCAAACAATTTGTACAAGAACTATTTCTTGCTTTCCCAAGGACCAGAATGGGGACAGCCATCACGTGGGAGACCTGAAGATCTCGGGAAAAGAGTTCTTGTCTTTACCTGTGAGGTCGAAGAAATACCGAGAGCACCAACTGGGTTTGGAGAGGAGGCCCCAAGGGCCGTGCGCATCGCCCCTGGATAGCAGCCAAGTCCGAGTGCAAGTGCCACAGTCGGTAGGAAGAAGTGGTTTTCTCCTCTAGTGCTCATCTGGGAGCTCTTCTTAGGATATCATCGTTCCTTCCTCCTTTCCAAGCTCTGGGGAAGGGTAGTGGCGTGGCTGTTGGATGGGAAGCAGAGCCTACGTGCTCAGTATGCAGAGCGTGCTTTAATAAGTCGGTGATTGGGATGAGATGATGGCAAATCCTTGCCTAGGAGCTTCTCTCTGGAAGGAAATCAGATGAAGCATGCTTGCAAAGGGGCAGGAGCTGGCCATGATGTTGGTGATTTAGGGGTTATGGGTGTGTGGTACGTTTCTTGGTTGGTGCTGAGCATCTCTGACTCAGGCTGTGCTTGGTTCCCCAAAGCTGATGGGCATCTGAGTCCTCTGGAAAGCTCTTACTGTGTCTATTTTGATGTTTTTAGCCCAAACAACTGAGTTGTTTGTTGGGCTGCTGTGTTCTGGTTGAGTTGATGCTCATGCTGTGACACTGGCAAACATGATGCACTGGGGAGGTTTCCTGCAGCTGCGTTGGTTTTGTTCTCAGTTTTGAAGATGGGAATTTCACCCACAAACCATGGCACATTTCTAAGACCTGGGAGGAGGCTCAGAGATGTTCAGGCTCAGCGAGAAGCCCAGAATCCTCAGCTTGCTGCTGCTGGGGTGTGTTGTAACACACAACTTCCTGATAGCATGGGTGCTCCTGCTTTAGTGGTGCATTACAGCCTCAGTGTATGCAGTTCTGTGATCACTCACTTGAATCCAGGTGGAATCAATCCAAGCCAGGAGACAGACACCTGTTTTTCCTTGGTGCTTAAGAAAAGAACACAATACAATATTTTTTATGTCAGGTAAGAAAGGGTCTGAGCTTCAGAGCTTGGGATGAAGCCTGCCTGTAGAGAGGGGATATTTGAACGTGGTTCCTTGCTCCCATACTGCAGGCTGCAGGTAGAACACGTCCTGATCTGCGCAGCCATGCACATCCCCTTCTGGCCACAGACAGTCCTGGTTTTCTGTTCCGTTGTCTGACCGCTGCAGACAGAATTTCTACAACAATTGTTTCTTTTAGACTTCTCTGAGCTGCTGTTTCATTCCCAATGGTGTCGGTGGAAATGGCCTAATAGGAAAAGCATTTCCTGCTGCTCACCGGTGCAAACATGATCGTTGGGAAGGAAAACAGAGCTCATCAGCCAGAAAGGAGACAGCAGCACAGGGGCATCCAAGGGAATACAAAGGCAGAAAAAAAAAAACAGCCTGCTTCTGCCAGAAATAGCCTTGTATTTTTAACTCGGACACTCAGCCAGAAAACAAACAAAAGCTGTGCTCCAGCAAGAGTAAGGCAAAGAGTGTTCCTGAAGTGTGTGTGAGCACACAGGGCTCAGTGTGTGGGAAGGGCCCCTGGGATGCTGCCAGCCACCAGTAAGTTGTCACTGTACATGCAGGAGTTTGGTGAATGGTGAGGAGGCAGGGAAAGGCTCACCAAGGTGCCCAGGCTTTGTAGTGCCTTGACTCTACCTGCTCACTCTGGATTTGTGGGAGAGTTCGTTTTAAGTTCAGCCCCTAAGCATTCCTGGTGCACCTGGTGGGTAAACAGCAGAGAGAGTGAACTTGAGATAGGCAGAGCAGCAGGGAAACAGAGCATCTCCCTCCTCACAGACACTAAACATACCCATTTTGTCCCAGGAGAGAATAGATGATGCACTTGGCTTGAGGAGAAGGGCAACTGTCTGTCTTATGTTTTGGAGAATGCCCATCTTGGTAGCTAACAGACTGTAGCCTGTGTCCCATAATAAGTGTGATGTGTTAGATGGGGCTTGTTCTCAGGGGTAGCTGTACCAAAGGAAGGTGGAGGTGTGCATAACCTTTTTCCTAAAAGCTTTTGAAATACCTTTGGACATCCAGGAGCTCTGCATGGGGATGAGGGAGGGAAGAATGCTGCATCCATGCTTGTGCACAGCCTTGGAGACCAGACTGCAGGGCTGAGCCTGCTGCTGGAGGGCTTCACCTCACTTTGGGGGCTTGGGTTTTGGACTCACCAGCACTGTGTCTGTGCTATGTGCCCATCCCAGCCCTGCAAAGGCTTTGATGCGCAGAGCCCCACTGGGACACAGCTTGTGCCTCAGACCCTGCCCTGCCACACACACAGTGCCCTACATGAAGGGCTCTGCTGCCCAGGCAGTGGCTGTGCGGTGTGCTCTGGGTTACTTCAGGTGAATCCTGTCTGGTTTCCATGCTCCCAGCTGACAGTGATGCCAGCCTGGCTTTGTAGTGAAGCCCAGACCTCCGAACTTTCAAGTCAACATCTTGCATTTGGCTTTTGTCCCATTGCTCTGTTGGATGGGAGTGTGGGTGGGCTTTGTTGAAAAGCTCTGTTTCCATCTGCGCCTTTTTAAATGAAATGTAGCAAACCCCACCCAAGAGCAAAGAGAGGCCGGAGCCCAGCTCAGACCCTTTCTCTTGCTCTCCCTCCCACAGAGCTGGCTTTGGTCAGGCTGTTCAGACCGCAGCCCCCTCCTATTCCCCATCTTGCGAATGCTCAAAGCAAAAAATCTTAAATCCATCCGTTAACAGCAAGTACTTCATTAGCAGTGTGCCCCAATGGCTGATCTGGGTGAGTGTATGGGATGTCACCATACCTGCACTCAGAAGACACGAGCTCAGAACAAACCTCCCAGGCCCTGAACAGGTCTCTCTATGTCTGTTCACCGTCTCCTCCCCACCTGGGGAGAGGCACTGCTGCTCCCCTGCCAACCCCAGGAGCTTACAGAGGTGTGATGGTGGCTGTAAAGTTGTTTGAGCTTTGGATGGCAGAGCTGCGGTGTTGTTATTAGCATCAGTGATGATGATGCTAATTACTGAACTGCTGGGAAACTCCCCATGGGAGGAGGCAGGGAAAAGTGGAAGGGGAGGTGAGGCACTGGGGATGGTGAGGAGCCTGGCCCTGCTGGCAGCACTGCCGTGCTCTGGGAACAGGGCTCATTCTGTTGGCAAAGCTGTGGCGATGCTGGGATGGGTGGGAGAAGCCATGGCTCAGGCTCTGCGTAAGGTAGGATGTGGGTGGAGGCCCCTCTGTGGGCTCACAGCTTTCTGTTGGGGGTGGGAGGGTTTTGGGCACAGAGGGGCTTCATCACTACTGGGACACGATGCAAGGGTCCTGCTTGCCCGTCTGCATTGGGGCTGGTGTGGGATCTGATGGGATGCCCAGAGCTGTGGGTCACTGCAGGCTGTGGTGTGGGAGCAGCTGTGGGGTGAGCCACACGTGGTTGTGTTTTCCCCCTGTTGTAGCAGCAGTCTGTGTATCAGGGCTCGGTCCTTGTGCCTATAGCTGGGTGGCCAGGCCTGAGATTTTCTGTTGGGTTTTGCTGTGTTTAAAACAACATCAAAGCAGGGGGTTTTGCACCATGTGAAGCTTGCAGACATCAAAGGCTCGGTCATAACGTAACCCTTTCCTCCGTGGGGGAGAAGGTCCTAATGCACAGGCTCCTAGAGGACTGGCAGCAACCGCATTTTGCAGAGGGTTCCCCCATGGAGGGGACTTCTAATGCTTTAGAAGCATCAGGTGAGCACAGGTTGGTGTGGTTGTGTCCTTCACTCCCCTATCTGAGAAAGCAACATCTCTGAGAAGGCAGGAGAGGGCCAGGGGAACAAAGATGCTCTGTATTCTCGAAAAAATCTGCCTGGGGATTTGTTCTACTGCTGGGCATGGCTTCTGAGGGCAGCACTGAGCTGAAGGCACTGGGATCTGTGGGACTGCGTGAGCCTGGCTTCAGGGGCTGCACACTGCTTACTGGGCTGCTGGGAAAAAGCACAGAGGAAAGGACCACCCCTCACCCACTACCCTCCTTGGGGGTCAGTGGTTCTGAAATGGTGCTGCTCATCTGGACCCCAATCTCCCCAGTGGAGAGCATCAGTCTCAGGAGCCCTTCCTGGCTCCTAAGCCACCCCAGCCCTTGTGGGGGCCATTTGTAGTTCATGATAGAGGAGCTGTGTGCAATGAGGACTTGCAGAGATGGGCTGATGTGTTTAGACACAGAACACACGCACAGTGTGCTGTATCTCCAAACATTTCCTGGGACAAATGTTTTTTATAAGACCTGCTTTGTGCTTACAGTGGGAAGCAACCATAAAAGAAGGGAGAATGTTGTAGTTGACACCCCTGCAGGCAGGGTGCCAGAGTTCTTCCATGTTGTCATCTCTCTCTCTCTCTCTGATGTCCTGGTGGGTCGATCCTCTGTGTGGCCCATGAGAGCTCAGTCCCTATGCTGTCCATTCAGAGCTTGATGTGGGTACCCTATGCTTGGCTGCTCTGTGGCTCTCTGCATCTTTCCTCTCTTTTGAGATGATGTAATGATCTGATTGATGTGTGAACTCCCTCCATGCCAACGCACGCCCTCCTTTATCTCCCAGCCTTTTGTTTAGCTGCGTGGTGTAATTATGCCATTATGGCTGGTCGGACTTTCTGGTGTGAACATGCTCCAAGAAAGCTGGAGCTGGAGGGGTGGGTGGCTGCTGTGATGGGTAAGGCTGTTCCTGTGGCACTCCAAGACTGCTGTGCTGGAGTCAGTCCTGCTGGAGCCCACCAAGCTGTGTCACCATCAGGCTGTTCCTTCCTCTTTGCTTAGTGAGATGTCCAGCAGCACTTGGTGTGGGTGCAGAGCTGGGAGATGTGTCTGCAGGGCTGGTGGACATTGAGAGAATTCCAGGATGCAGGCTGCTCTGAGAAGCAGCAGTAATTTGGTTGCAAATTAAAACATGCATCCAACCCTTCTGACCACATGTCTGTCTGAGACTCTTTATTAAGCACTGAGGCCCTTCTTTTTGGCTCCTTTCGTGGCATGGTTGCACACATGAGCCCAAAGTGCCTTCCTACATCAAGGCTGCAGCAGGGACAGCAGAGCTGGAACCGTGTGTGTTTTCCAATGCAGAGTCCTGAGGTGCTGCTCCTCGCTGGGACTTTATGCAGGGAAATGAGTGGGGAGGTAGAGAATCACTGCAGAGGAACTGCATGGGGCGGAG